AATGGCGGCCACAGCTTTCCTTCTCACCCCTGGGGACACACAATAGTCCTGCTCCTCACTTCACTGAGGAGACTTTTCCCTCAAAGCCTCAGTTTGCAGCACGCACAGGATGGCCAGGACCTGACAAGGGGGAGCCAACCTTGTTGGTGGGGCTGCCCACACCTTTCCAGTCACCTCTGGGACAGTAGCTGTCACGATGGGGCAGATGAGAAGGGCAGCTCGTCTTCTTTACCGCTCTGGAACTAAATGCATGGGTTGTGCAGATGCGCTGTGTAGGCACGCCCATCACTAGGTCTTATTTTCGGGGCAAGGCTTATATTGCGCACATGCTTAGAAATCCTGCTAGGGCTTATTTTATGGGTAGGTCTTATTTTCGGGGAAACACAGTACACTCATATGAAGAGCTCTCCAAGAGCTACTGTTAGGTGTGTGTGGGGCGGGGGGGATAAGTTGCAGCACTAATGTCTCATGTGATCTATCTCTAGAGGGATACCTTACACATTGATCAACTCTGCAGCGAGGTCTGCAATTGAAAGAATAACTAAGGGAGACTTTGGTTTCATGTGTAGTGTTGATGTTTCCTTCCAGGAATTAATTCAGGAAGTAAGGTGGATATTTACACACTAATGTTCACAGCGGCATTATTTGCAATAGCTAAAAGGTGGAAGCAACCTGAATGCCCATCCACAGTTGAATGGATAAACAAAATGTGGTGCATATACATACAATGGAAAGTTATTCATCCAGAAAATGAAATGAAGTATTGATTCATGCTACAACATGGATGAACCTTGAAGACATTATGTTAAGTGAAATAAGCCAGACATAAAAGGACAAATACTGTATGATACCACTCGTATGAGCTACCTAGAGAAGTCAGATCGATAGAAAGTAGAATGGCGGCTGCCAGGGGCTGGGGGAGGGGGGGATTGAGAGTTGGTGTTTAAAGGGGACAGAGTTTCCGCTGGGAAAGATGACAGAGTTCTAGAGACGGATGGTGGCGACAGTCGCAAAGCAGTGTGAACGGACTTGATGCCACTAAATTGTACATTTTAAAACGGTTAAAATGGCAAATTGTATGTTATGCATATTTTGCCACAATGAACAATGTTAAATAAAAACAGCAAGACAATTGTAAAATATGAACAACAATAATAATAATTGATAAGGTGCACTGAGCTGATGCTGAAGGATTCTTTTCCACTACAATACATATATGCTGGGCGATATATTACCAAAAAAGGGAACCATATAACCAAACTTAAAATAAAGCATGTGTAATACACAAGTGTGCCAGAAATAAAGAGGGAACTGCAATCCAGAGACAGAAGCGGAAGCTGGGACACAGGAGACTGCGGATCCCATGAAATCGGCAGGACAGGGGCTCCAGGGCCAGAGCCTGGGAACGGCACCGTGAGCGCCACCAACCGGACCTCCGCAGTAGTTAAGGCTGACGCCCCCTTTATAGTGGGGATCCTTGAAGGGCTACTCTATCCATAAAGGAGCTTTAAAAAGAAAAGAAAAGCTCCATTGGGGAAGCAGCAAAGAAACCATTCACAGGCAGTGAGAAAGAAAGTCACACATGAGTAATTAAAAACCCTAAGCCTGCACCACTTATGGGTGTAGGGTCTAAATTTACACCACCCATGTAGAAAGGAAACTCAGAACTATAAATTTAGCATATAAAATATTCAAGATGAGTGAAACACTCAGGCCCAGCGGAAAGGAACACAAAACCAGTCCCTATAAGGACGGTTTCACAGCCAAGGGCAGGCAAGGCTCCCGCAGAAATGAAAAGCAGGGTGGGCGGGGTGGCGATGTGAGCAAGATGAGTTCACAATAAAAAAAAAATGGAGAAATGCAATCCGTGAAGTACCGCTAGCATGTGCACCCATGTACACACACACACACACACTCAAGAACTGGAGATGGGAGAGTAGCCTGAGAATACCAGTGCAACATAGGGTGTAATGGCTAAGGAGAGAAAAGATGGATACAAAACAGAATTCAGGTTCAAGAGGAAGAAGGGCAGCTCCAGGGGGAATCTGTGGAGCGGAAGGAGTCTCCAGGACATTCAGGTAGCGGTTAGTAGGAGGCTACCAGAAATATGGGTCTGGAGCCCAAGAGAAAGGTCTTGGCTGGAGACGGCTGTCATTGAGGGTGGCTCAAGCACCCACCAGGGCAGTGTGATGGGCCAGGGTGTCAACCACGAGAGGGGGCCCTGGAGTGAGCTCTGTGTTCAAGGGCAGGGAACTGGAAGGAGGCAGGGATATACACTCTATCTACACCTGCCAGTTTTGATTGCAACCTTTTCCAGGAAATGCACGGGGAGCCTCCTCTCCCCAAGGTATTCCCAGGGCCTCCCAGAGCCCCTTGCTGAGCCTCTTACTGCGCAGTGATCCGCGGCTCTGATCTGCCTCTCCCACTCCCAACAGGTGGCAGTGCCATCCTGCTGCTGTTTGTTCCCCCCACATCTGGCACACTGTCGGACCCCCGTGGTGGCTCCATAAATGACTGTCGAAATGAATGAAAGGGATGTGCGTGTTCTGCTGCCCTGCGGGAATTCACAGGGTGAGTGCGCAGGAGAACGGGTTGCTGGAAATCTGGCTGGCTCCCTCCTCCACCCCCACTCTCCCTCTCGCCTTCTTGCCCCCCATTCTGCACTGGGAGGAAACAGCATCCACTGACTCTGGGACTCGGACTCGGGCAAGCACTGCCCCTAATTCAGTCGCGCGTGAGCAGCAGGAAGCTTGTGTTGGTTGCGCAAGGTCGTCCACTCTTCGCCCCTTCTCCCATCGTTATAAAAATGACCTGCCATTGAATGCACTCTGCAAGTATTATCTCATTTAATGAGATAACTACAACTTGGTAGTAGTCCCCCACTCTGCAGATGAAGAAAGTGAGGCTCAGAGAGGGATGTGACTGTCCCTGACCACAAAGCCATGGAGTGGCAGGGCTGAGGTTCAAACCAAGACCTCTCTGACTCCACAACTGTAATTTCTGCTCTTTATATGGACTCACATATGCACAGTTCCTTGTCCCTGCCCTCCCCTGTCCTCTCAGCTCACATTGCCTCTCGCACACCCTCTCCTTAGCTCACACTGCATCTGAGTCACACATTCTTTGGCAGACAAGTGGGGGTAGGGGGTGGGAAGGGGATGGCCAGATGGGTGGTGAGTATAAACCCGGGTTTGTCTTTTCACAGTAACGAGCACTGTTGTGGGGCAGGACCTAGAATCCATGACCCCTCTGGGCCCCTTCTGGGATCCTTGGGGTGAAGGAAAAAGCAGACAGAAGACTCATCTGCAAATACAGCTGTGAAGACTGGGAAATTGTCCCTGGACTGGCCTTGGGGACCAGACTCAGAGCCTGGTCTTCTTGTGGATGGAACAAGGATCCAGAATGTCTTTCCTTTAAGACTCTGAATTTCTTGGGCCTGACTTTGTGGGGGCCCAGAATGGTGCCAAGCCCCCGTCCAACCTGGGAGGTGAAGCCCGGGACTGGGAATCAGGAGACCAGGGACCTGGGCCTGACTGATGCCACCACTAACTTGGAGGACCTGGGGCAAGATGCTGCTTCTCTGAGCTCAGGTTCTTCATTTGTGACATGGAACGACCATCCCAGGCCTGCCCATTTCTCAGAACGGGTGCTGTGGCAGGGGGAGGGCTCTGAACCAAGGAGGCAAGGGTGGGGGATGGGAGGAGCAGATGCCAGGGCAAGACAGCAACCGCCAAGAGAGCTGCCACCAAGAGAGAGAGCTGCCACCAAGAGAGCTGCCACCAAGGTGGCCATCCTCGTGGCCTGGGCCAGGGCCATCTCACTGATCACCTCTTGACAGGGTGGCCTTACGCACTCAGCAGCTCTGGCCCAGACCATGACTCTGAATGACAGAACCAAGACAGGACAGAGGAGAGGAGAGGAGGAAGAGATGAAGTGGAGGAGGGGCATGCGGGGTCAGGGAGGAGGGTGGAAGGAGCTGACCTGAGGGTGACAGGCACAGAGGTCAGCACCCTGCATCCTGGACAGGGATCCAGCCCTGGCTCTGCTTCTCACTCCAGCATCACATTAATCAGGCACAGCCCTCAGCTGAGGATCTCTGAGCCTCAGTTTCCCCATATGTCAGCTCAGCTTTTATGACTTCCTCAATTACATCATCCACTTGCCTTTCAAAGCCCTGTCACTTCACTGTCCAGAGCCCATCCTGCATCCCCTCCCTTGCCTCGTTCTACTCGTCCTGCCTCTCCCCTCTGGGCCAACGACCCTCAGCTGAAGGCTGATGCCCTGTGTCTTGACGTCCACTGTGTCACACATCACAAGGCAGAGGCCTCCATTGAATCATCTTTGGTCCCTCCTGCGAAGCACTTATACACGGTACGTGCTCATAAACATCCTGTTTGTCATGAAAAATGGCCAAACAGCTAGATGGATGGGTGCCGAAAAGGCTCAGCCTGCTTTGTCTGCTGTTCGAGCTCCTGGTCTAGACACCCCCTCCCCCTAAAAAGCCTTCTGGATTAATCCCCACCATATACTCCTTTTTCAACAACTCAGATAAAGGAAATCCTAAACCCAGCCCGAGTTCCTGGCCCCACAGCCCACCCTGCCACACATTGCTGTCCCTCTCTCCCCTTAGACCTCAGCTCCTGCCCCTGCTCAAAGGCTCCTCCAGCTGCCCCCCTTCTTATCCAGCAGATCCCAACCCCACAGGCCTGACAGTCCAAGGAGCTTGGCCCCAGCCACCTGCCATTAATCATCCATGCCACCAGGATAGCCACTCTACCGACAGAGGGAGCTCTGCAGAAGTACCCTGGAGTGGCTCTGCCACAGAAAACCCCACAGAAGTCGCCAAGAGAGTTCCTGAGGTCCCAGAGCTCAGGAATGCTATAAGGGAGGTACCCAGACAGAGGGACTCTTCACAGAAGACCAAAGACCCAGCCCCGGTTGCTGGCCCTATAGCCCACCCTGCCACACACATCGTGGCCAGGACGGAAGCAGAACCTCACCTGGGTGCTCCTCCAGCTTCCCCATGGTCTCCATCTGCTCCACCAGGTCGTTTGAGTTCCACTGGCTCATCCCAATGAGGATGGCGTTCTTCCCTTCAGCCACATCCTCTGTGGAAGAAGCAGAGACGGGCATGAGCAGGCGGGGTGTGGGGTAGGTAGCCCTGACAGGAGCTGTCTCTGAGGGAGTGCTTATTTCTTCCTGAGTTGAGGTAGACTCCAGCTATTGAAGCTGTCTGTCGTCATAGACAGGTCTGAGACATCAGCAATTTGCCATTGCAAGAAGACACTGTGGTTGCATCCTACGGGGCCCCCATTGGTTACAGCAAAAGAAAGTAACAAGGGGCTGCAAACCCCCTGAAGGCTCCATTCCTAGCACTGACAGCAGTATCTCTTGAGAGGCAAGGTCAAGAGAAGAAACAGCAAGCTTGTCACTTGCTAGCAGTTTTTCTTTGGGTAAGTTATTGACTCCTCTGAGCCTCAGTTTTCCCATCACTAAAATAGGACTGGCAACATCCAGCTCACAGAGTTGTGAGGATTAAATGAGACAATGTGTGAAAGGTCTTGGTACATAGGAGTGGCTCATAGGTGAGAGTCATTACAATTATTTCTTCACATGAGAAGTAACTCACCATCAGGATTTGAGTGGGTCAGGATTTGAGTGGAGCAGAAGCAGCTCTGAAGTAACTGGGAGAGCAGAAGCTGTCTAGTTTCAACCAAGCTTTGAGCTGTATGCAACCCTCAGCCCACATCTCAACCTTAAGAAGTTCTTTAGGGCTCCATTCTCCCCCACTCCTCCCCTCAACCCTGTCTCCATCCTTGCCTTTCCCCTGTGTGAGCTTAGTATTTCCTCTGGGAGACATCTGTGGGGCCACACTCCCTAACCACACTGAAGACAAGCCCCTGGGTACAGTCCCTCATCCTGCAAAGGGACGTTTCTTCAAGAACAAGCCCACAGGGATGCTTGGTCTCTTCCCCACACCCTGCCCCAAAGACATGGGCCCTCCTGGTGACAAGCTTTGTGCCCTCCCTCACAGGACAGACACCTGAGGGTGTGGAGGAGCCCCCCCTAACCTCATGATAATTAAGAATAAAGGGTTGAGACCTATCTCACCACCAAAGAGCTTTACCTAGCAGGTGGAACCAATATGGCGGCTCTGAAGCTTTGGGAGCTGTCCAGAGTTCTGATTCACTCTGGTGCCCAGTTATCCAGACCCCATTTCTGGCTAGGACACCTTCTCCTGACTTATTTTATTTATCTATTTGATTTATTTCACAACACTTGTCAAAACCTTACTACACACTGAGATGGTTATAAGTGCTTTACAAATATTAACTCACTTCATTCTCATAACAATACTAAACAGGTACGATTATTATTATCTCCATTTTATAAACAGAGAAACTGAGTCACAAAGTAACTGAGTAATCCTTGCCCCAGGTCACTGACTAGAGCCAGGATTCAAACCCAGATATATGGTTTCAAGAGTTCTGAAATTCTGCCACCCGGATAGCCTACCCTGGACCTCCTGTATTGGCTGGCTGTCCAACGCACCCAGACAATTTCCTGAGCCTGGCAAGTTCCATCTGGAGAAAGGTTTATACCCACAAGCAGCAGTATGTATTGGACAGGGCTCTGACCAAGTCCCAGTGCAGATTCTGCTACATGTGAGCTTTGTGCTTTTAGACACATCTCTCAAACACTGTGCCTGTTTTCTTATCTCTTAAATGTTAGTAACAACTCTGGCTCTATAGATTTTTCTAGCAAGCTGCTGTGGGAACCAATACACAGTAAATTTTTAAAAGCTACACAAGCCAAGATGCTATAGACAAATATAGGTGCTACTATTCCTGGGGAAGCTGAATCGTAAAGAGGTTAGGAGCTCAATTCGGATGTTAGGTTGACTATTTTCAATCCTGAACCCGCCATCTGCTAGCCCTATGACTTTGGACAAGGAGCTTCACTTTATGAGCTTCAGTCTTCTCCTCTATGAGATGACAGCACAGCAGTGCCTATGTCACTGGATCGCTGTGAGGGTTAAATGAGATGACACAGGTAAAGTGTTTACAAGAGTGCCTGGCACACAGTAAGAGCACAGACTGATATACTATCAAATGGAGGTGGCACTTGGTGTTGTGCCCCCGTACGCACTCTCGGTCCCACTCACGCTGGTGTTTAACCCTACGACATTCTACCCAGCTCTAGAGTAGGGTGGTGGGGGTAGGTGCAGTGGCTCACGCTGTAATCCTAGCACTCTGGGAGGCCATGGTGGGAGGATTGCTTGAGCTCAAGAGTTCGAGACCAGCCTGAGCAAGAGCGAGACTCTGTCTCTACCCAAAATAGAAATATTAGCCAGGCATCGTGGCATGCACCAGGCTGAGGCAAGAGGACTGCTTGAGCCTAGGAGTTGGAGGTCGCAGTGAGCTATGATGGTGCCACTGCACTCTACCCCAGGTGGCAGAGGGAGACTCTGTCTCAACACAAAGAGAGGCAGAGAGGAAACAATAGAGTGGGCAGGACCAGCCTGTAGCTCCTGGCTCAGTTACCCAAGCATGCAGTTATCCATTTGTTCATTCTAACATTGATTCGGCGGTGGGTAGATTCCTGAGTGCCTCCTACTGCGTGCAGTATGAGACGTGACCTCCGCCCTGCAGGAATGCGGTTTTGTGGAAACACAATAGGAATCTCTGACGTGGTGGGAGGAGAGAGCCGGGGTTCTGGTCCGGTGCCAGGTGTGCGCAGGTGCTCAGCGCATCCCGGCTCCCATTTGCTCTGCTCTGCAGGGGGTCCCCTGCGGGGCGTGGGAGGCCATCTGAACCCCGGCCCCTGCAGGGCTGCTCGTGCCTAACCGCTGTATGCCTGACCTCTTCCCTCTTCTCCCAATTATGGGTTGACCCTGCTCCATCTTTGGCTCTCGGTCTTTTGTCTGTTTTTCTATCAAATATATCTTTCACAGACTCACCGTGCGTCCCTCACCCTGTGCGCCTGGCCCTGTCCTGCCTGGATCTGCTGTCTCCAGGTCCCTTTCTAGGGGTGTCTGCCTCGCTCTGCCCCGTCCGTCCCGCTCTCCCTCCTCATCCCTGTGTCTCTCTCTCCCTCCTCTCTGGGGCTCATTTTCTCTGGCTGGATGTGCCTCTTTCTCGACCTCTCTCACTCTCTGTGGGCTTCTCTTTCCCTCCCTGGCTCTCTGCTCCTCGGGACCTCCCCATATGGAAGCCCTGCAGGTCCTCCCTGCTCCCCTGGTGTCCTCCCTCCCCTGAGTCACCGTCTCTCTCCCACCGTCTCCCTCTCTCTTGCTGTGTGTGTGCGTGTGTGTGTGCACACGTGGACCCCTCTCCTTCCCTGCCTTCTCGCACCGTCCCTGCTCTGCGGCTGCTCTGCCCCCATCTCCCTGACATGATTTCTCTCCCTCTCTGGGCCTCCTCCCGCCCCTGCTGTCCACACCGTCACGTCTGCTCTCTGGCAACAATGGGCTTGTCCCCTGAGAGAAAACACACACACACACACACACACACACACACACACACACACACGGAAGCAGCAGCCGAAATAGCTCCTTTTGGAGTCATTCAGGCAGAGAGGGGGGCTGCGTGTCGGCTCCGCATCTCCGCTCTGGGTCCCGCAGCGCGTGGGTCCTGCCAACAGGACCTGTGGAGACCACAAAGGGCTCGTTTGGATAAATGTCCTGGTTATTGATTTTGCTTTTCTTCTTCTGGTGACTGTCCCCGGCATGCTAATGCTCCTCCCTGGTGACCTCTGGTGCAGACACGGTTCTAGCACCTACTTCACCCTCACGGAGCCCTGACCCAGCCCAGATTAAGTGCCAAGCAGAGCCTCGCCCACTGTCACTACAACCCTGGCCTCAACCCCAGATTGACCCTGACCCTGGCTGACGCCTGGATGCTCCCTTTAAGCAAAGCGTCCAGTGGATCTACGGGACTCTGGAGCAGGGAGGCCCCTTGTCCCATGCCAGGAAGGCTTTACCTCCAGCTCATGGAGCCCAGGGCTTGGTTGCCCTCTCCAGATGGCCCCTGCAACACCATCCATTGCCAGTCCCATGATGTCCCTCTTTCCAAAGACCTAAAAGGGCATTGCTGGGGCCTCTGGGGTACAGATTACTAATCCTCACCTTGCACTGCTTATCACATGCCCCATGCCCCACCCACGGCCATCACTGCCACTCTCTCTTCACCACGGGTGGCAGTCCCCACTATGCCTGTCCCCAGAGCCTTTGGAGCTGGCTCCATAGCATTCTCTTTTCCACTCCCCCTCCCCCAATGGGCCAAAGACAGAAGAGGGGGGCAGGGGACCCTACCACACTGTAGTTTGCTTCTGTGATGGCTCTTTTGCCCCAGAATAAACACCCACCTGCCCACAGTGACATCCCTCCACTCCATCCACGAGATAGGCAATGCTCCCCGACCATGCTACAGATGAGGAATGCGAGAAGACTTGCCTGAGATCAGACGGCTGCCTGTCAGTGGCACAGCCTTGAGGAAAACCTGATTCCTCTGATCCCAGAGGACTCACATCACTTTGTTCTCTTCCAGGCTGGAAAGCCCCGGGAGGCTGTGCGATCACAGCAAAAGCCCAGCTCCAGAGGAGAAGACCTGGCCGGTGCCCCCATCCCTCATTCTCCAAGAGACCCGGCCCTGCCTTTGTCTGCAAAATGCGGTTATGTGGCCCTGCACTACCTTCCTGTCCTGGTTGCCCTGAGAGACCAGGGAGTTAGAGCCCAGCAGCTCAGGCTCCAGCTTCCCAGGGAGGACCAGCCTGGCGGGGAGCTGGAAGGGCAAGAAACCCAGGACACAGCAGACAGGGGGCAAAGGCAGAAAGGTGCACACTTCCAGCCGCCAGCCCCGAGGGCTCCCATCCCTGCTAGGGGGAGAGTCCCATGCTCTGCTCTCGGTCAAGCTACCCAGGGCCAGATGTGCCCTGAAAATAAACCCGGGTCTACCATCACCACCAAACTCACCCTCACCCTCACCCCGTCCCCGGCCCTGCCAACATCCTCCTCCCTGCGGCTGCCAGGGCCTGTCCTGATTGAGTGCATTCAGGGAGAGGGGTTGCTGTTTAGATGCCAGGAGCAAAACCAAAGGAAAACAAATAT